GACTGCATACCTTGTATCTTTGATAACACATAACAAATTGTCAATACAACAATAAAGTCTTCAATTCAGCTTCAAATAGCCTTAGGGTAAGTCAAAGTTTCATTCTTTCTTTCATAAAAGAAACATTACACTAGCTCCAACACAACCATACCAAGAATCAAATTCAGAAGCCTCAAAATTTCTTAAATTTCACATTAACTTATAAAAAAGATACCTGAAACAAGATGGTGAGGCGAGCAAGAGGAGCGGTGCAAGTCTTACTAAATGCGCCGGCGATTCCACCGGCGAGAAGACGCTCAACCGTGCCGAAATGCCCTTGTTGCTGATTCAGCGACTGTTTATTACATTGGTGATGTTGATGGCAGCTTTGTGTCTGCGTCTGCGGCTGTTGCTGTAACAGCTTCCTGTTTCCGGCGTCAACAACACTGTTATGCACGGCGGTGGCGGTGGCTGTATTAAGAGCTCTCTGTCCTCCTTCTACCACTACACCGACTCGAGCTTCCATATTCAAATATCTTTCTCTCTGTGAGATTACTCTGTGGTTGATTCGGCGGATGTGGAAGATGAAGTCGCATCAATTAAAGCGTAATGATTTCTGATTTTTGTGATCGGAGATTGGAGAAATCGTCGTGGAGAAGGTAAACCCTAAAGAAACCCCTAAAACCTGGTCTGCGAAGGCAGAAGGGTATTTTGGTAAAATAAGTAAAATAAGATGACGCAATCACATATATATATCACAAGATTTGTTGTTCGGACAAAACTTAGGAAACACAAAAAAAGAAAAAAGAAACACATGGAATATTTGATTTTGGAAATTCGAATTTTCAAAACCGCCAAATCGCCAACAGTTTAACAAAAATAAACATTATGGATTGAATATGGACGTGTCACATCAACAACACTAACAAATTACTAATTCTTAATCAATTACTTGTATAGAGTATAGTTGTTATAGTTGTGTTTTTTTTTTGTTATTATTTTCGCTATAAGAAATTAAATAAACAACTAACAAATAGGAGTATATCTTTTGCTTCCACATGTCTACATCGTGATTAGTAATTGACATTTCCAAATATTATTAATGGATGTGTCTTTAGACTCGATGGATACATACACCACAATCCAACAACATTTATGTTCACTAAAATAGTACTTCCTCCGTTTCGTTTTAGTTGCGTTTAAGTTTTTTTTTCACACAAATTAAAAAAAGCATTAAATTTATTGTTTTAGCCTTTTAATTTTTTTCATTGGCCAAAACATTAAAACAATAAGGATAATACTGAAATTTTTACCAAACATTTGCATTGAAAACCTAAAACGACAACTATTACGAAATAAAATTTAAGTCCTAAAACAACAACTAAAACGAAACGGAGAGAGTATATATTTAGCCGGTGATAGCTAGCTAATGTAAAATAATTAGATAAAGTGAGTTATCTCACATAAATTTTCTCACTATAAAGTCTTTTCTTTTTTTTTTGGTAAAAGGTTAAATACTATAAAGTCTTTTGTTTAGTAACTTACCTTTATGGCATGGTTGGATCATCATGTTGAATAGTCACAGTGCCGGCTCAAATAGGGGGTGAGCGGTGCGACGGCCAGGAATCCAATCCCGTGCTCCAATAATTAAGGAGCCCATTAAAATTTTTTTTTTTTATAAAAGTATTAAAATTTTAAATTACAACATAAAAATAAAATTTAGAAGGGCCCATAAATTTTTTTATTATTGTTTTTAGTTTTAATAATTAACTTTTTAATAAAAATATCATACAATTTTTTTATATAACACAAAGAACACAAAAAAAAAAAAATCTAAGGGCTTAAAATTTTTTTTGCTCTAGGGCCTATAATACTGTTGAGCCGGCACTGAATAGTCAATATGTAAAATATGGTCGAATCATATCACAAATATTCATATCATATACTGGATATCTAGAGGTTCGCATATGAATACTCTATCGTCAAACCTGCTCGTATTTGAACTTATACTTGTGAATATTATGTAGTTACTTGTATTCATATACGAACCTCTAGATATCCAATATCAAGGCTAATCCCTACGACTATATGTAATGAGAAAGAGAGTGACAATAATTGGAGTGTACATTTTGATACATATTATAAGAGTGACATCAATCAGAAATGGGTCATACTTTTTGGAGACCACTGGCTGCAGACAGCACAACCCAAAAGCTTATCAACTAATCTAAATTAGTGAATTTAATTTATCAACTAATCATGTAGAAGAAGTATGATTTATTTTTGTTGTCTAAGCATCAAGATGACGAAATGATAGTAGAAAAAAAGAGAGTATGGAGAAAAGGTAAGAAAAAGTATACGTTAACCAATAAGACTAATCATTTTATGAATGGCTGTGAATTGATGTGAGCTGTAGAGAAAAAAGTTCCAAAATATAAAGTTGATCTCGTTATGTGTAGGTTTATGAGTTAAGTTGTTGAAAGGAACATTACTTTCTAATTTGTAATTTGGACCACTTGCAAATGAAAGATCTTTGTTTCCCTTTTGTTTTTAAGAGTGTTTAGTGAGCTGTTTAGAGTAAATCATAAAAACCCGTATACTCCAAGATCCATATTAACTGAAACTTTTTTAACAAAAAACACAAAATATTTTTTTATCTACTTAAAAAGTAGAAAAAGTTTTATTTTGTTGATTATGTTTTTTTTTTCATGATTATACCTTTTGAGCATTAAAAGGGGTAACCTACTAGTTAATTAACTGAAAAATACGTTTTCTAAATATTTTTTGACCTCCAAGGCTCTGCCTCTGATTACAATTGTTTTTCCTGTTAATGAAAATAGTTTTTTTTCGTAGTTTGAACTTTGAACCGTTTAAAATGTTGTTTACCTCGTCTAAAAACTGTGAAAAGAGAGATTATACTACTGATTAATAGTAGCAAAATTGCAGTTAACGAATTGAATTCTGAATGTAGAACTAATTTGAAGGAAATAAGTAATTTGTCTTTAATCTCTTATGTTGAAATCAACTGTGTCCAAGGGACCCACACATAGTCGTACTTTTATGATCATCGAATCAAAAATCATCGCAGATAAATCAACGGCTGTGATTAATTCGCAGTGTACACCTTTTTCCCCACTTAATCTTCTTTTAAGTGAAGCAGAAAGCTTTAGCCAACAAAAAATGGCAGAATTTGTTCCTTCTTACACTCCAGGGATCGTACTTGTACTTCAAACCATTCTTCTCTTCTCGATCGCACGTGCCGATTTACCAGGCACGTGGGAGCTCATTGTACAAGACGCCGGTATAGCTTCTATGCACACGGCGGTGACCCGGTTCAACACGGTCATCCTTCTAGATCGAACAAACATCGGACCGTCGAGAAAGGCTCTTGACCGTCACCGGTGCCGGAGAGACCCAAAAGACGCAGCTCTGAAGCACGATTGCTACGCTCACTCGGTTCTGTTCGACCTTGGTACAAATCAGATTAGACCATTGATGATACAAACCGACACGTGGTGCTCATCGGGTCAGTTTTTATCCGACGGATCGTTGCTTCAAACGGGTGGGGATAAAGACGGGTTTAAAAAGATCCGTAAATTCGAACCGTGTGACCCGAACGAGACGTGCGATTGGGTGGAGCTTCAAGATACTGAATTAATAACCGGACGCTGGTACGCTACTAACCAGATATTACCGGATGGTTCAGTTATCATCGTCGGTGGCAGAGGAACCAATACGGTTGAGTATTACCCTCCACGCCAAAACGGTGCCGTTCCGTTTCAGTTTCTTGCTGACGTGGAAGACAAACAAATGGATAATCTCTATCCGTACGTTCATCTCCTCCCCGACGACGACGGCGGCCATCTCTTCGTCTTCGCTAACAGTCGCGCCGTTAAATATGATCACCGGTTAAACACTGTCGTGAGAGAGTATCCACCGTTAGACGGTGGTCCAAGGAATTATCCGTCAGGTGGATCATCGGCGATGCTAGCGATCCAAGGAGATTTCACCACGGCGGAGATACTAATCTGCGGCGGAGCACAATCCGGGGCCTTCACAGCGCGTGCTATTGACGCTCCGGCGCATGGAACTTGCGGACGAATCATAGCTACTGCGGCGGATCCGGTTTGGGTTACGGAGGAGATGCCGTTCGGGAGAATCATGGGGGATATGGTGAATTTACCGACCGGAGAGATTCTGATCATAAACGGAGCTCAAGCCGGAAGCCAAGGATTCGAAATGGGATCCGATCCGTGTCTATACCCGCTTTTATACCGACCCGATCAACCAATTGGTTTACGATTCATGACATTGAATCCAGGAACTGTACCGAGAATGTATCATTCCACGGCGAATCTTTTACCGGACGGTAGAATTCTTCTCGCCGGAAGTAATCCTCACTATTTCTACAAATTCAACGCCGAATTCCCAACAGAGCTACGGATTGAAGCGTTTTCACCGGAGTATCTTTCGCCGGATCGAGCTAATCTCCGACCTGAGATCCGAGAAATTCCGCAGATCGTACGGTACGGAGAGGTCTTCGACGTGTTCGTGACGGTTCCGTTGCCGGTGGTGGAGATTATACAGATGAATTGGGGAAGTGCGCCTTTTGCGACTCATTCGTTTTCTCAAGGTCAACGGCTCGTTAAGTTGACCGTTGCTCCGTCTGTGCCTGACGGGGTTGGTCGTTATAGGATTCAGTGTACGGCTCCACCTAACGGCGCCGTTTCTCCGCCTGGGTATTATATGGCCTTCGCCGTTAACCAGGGAGTTCCTAGCATTGCTCGCTGGATTCGTATAGTTTCTTGATTAAAATTAAACCAGGAGATATTTAATTTTTTAATCATGAATTTTATTTGTTAAATAGTTAAACACATGATGTAATATAAATATTTTCATGGAAAAACTCACTCCGCCAAAGTTAACCATCTTAATTTGATCTGATTCAGTTTAGCTATTAAGTTAATCACTTTTCAAAAGTACAACAAACACACACAAAAAGGAAACATAAAATGGTTATCATATGACCCCCAAACCAAAAGCGAAGTTAGGTAAACTTGGACGTGTTATTCGTCACTGGGGCTGTCTCAACGTCATCGTACCGTCACCAACAACAGCCAGACTCGGCTGCACACTCTTGTAAGTGTCTTTCATGCCCACGATCACAGAAGCACATATTTGCAGCCGTCAAAGCGGCTAGCATCAAGTAAAAGCGGTCCAAGCGGCTGTTATTAAGGTCTTTCCCGAACTAGTCATTCCCGGAAATTTCCTTGGCCTAATGACCACTAACAGAAGTCAAAACTTAAGAGCTAACACAACTTGAACCGAAATTTTAAAATACTCAAATAGATACTAAATTTCATAATAAAATATTTGAAATCCGAAAATACCAAACTGTAACCGAACCGAAAATCCAAAGACCAAGAACTAATTATAATTGTAATATTGTTGTAACTTTAAAACTACAACAATCGTCTTTCTCTTGTTCACGCTTGTCTCCCGTAACATTTTATTAAATAACACCAATTCTAAAGTATTGGGGTACAAAAAAAAAAAAGGATTGGGGTCTTAACGAATAACCTAAAACATTAACGGGGCCATCTCTTTTTTATTGACTTTTGATAATCTAGATATACAAAGCGTAGGGTTTCTGATGAACCCTGTTTTGGGCTTTCTTGTCCATCAAGCTAAGATAAGATAGTGTTGGTTTTTTTTTGTTGGTTCTTTTTTGTCGGTTATGTGTCCTTTTTCTTTTTTCCTTTTTTAATTCGAGCTTACCAATTACGTTTTCTTTAGGATTAGGGTTTTATTTAAAATATTCTACTTCTCTGTAAATAGAGATTGTAGAACCATTGTAACTTGCTAATTCGATATTTGATAATAGAAAAACAAAAAAAGGAAACCCTAGTTACCCAAAGAGCTTGTGCCAAACCCTGAGAAGAGGGGTCTCTCTTCTATCCTTATTAGAATCCAATATCTTCGAACCCTTTGAGCGAGCAAGCGAGCCATCATGTCCCAGGAGCCTCAAATTCCGCCGGAGGTGCCTGAAGAAAAGATCAGCAAGAAAGCAGCCAAGAAGGAAGCTGCGAAGCTAGAGAAGTTACGCCGCCGGCAGGAACAAGAGAAGTTACGCAGCCGGCAGGAACAAGAGGAAGCCACTCGTAAGACAGCTTCAAAGTCTCTCGAAGAAGATGACGAGTTTTCAAGTAACTACGGCGACGTGACTCTTAACGAGTTGCAATCGACGGAGGATCCGAAAGCCGGAATATGGAGAGAGGCTGTTGAAGGGAAGAGGTGGACTGAAGTGAGTAAATTGGTGGAAGAAATAGCGGGATCTGAGGTTTTGATTAGAGGCCGAGTTCACACGTATCGCGTACAACCTAGCATAGTGTTTGTGATCTTGAGGAAAAGTGGATCCACTGTTCAGTGCGTGGCCAAGCAATCGGAGGAGACCAACGTTAGCGTCAACATGATTAAATACCTCGAGAAGCTGAGTTGCGAATCCATTGTCGATGTCATCGGTGTCGTCGTTCTCCCCAAAGACCCTGTAAAGGGAACTACGCAGCAGGTTGAAATTCAGGTGAGAAAACTGTACTGCGTCAACAAAGCCTTGACAAGATTACCATTTAATGTGGAGGCTGCTGCCCGAAGTGAAGTAGATATTAAAAAATATCTTTGATGTGTTCTTCTTATGCTTATATGGTGGTCATAATAGCTGTTGTTTTCATGATTGTCGCAGACTGGAAGACGAGCTGTTCGTGTCAATCAGGATACACGTTTGAATCATAGGGTGATTGACCTCAGAACACCGGCTAATCAAGCCATCGTCGCCCTTAAGTCCCAACTCGTAAATGTAAGACCTTAATCTTTTCTAAAACATGGAGGAAATGTTTTATCAGTAGTATGTTTTGGTATTTCCATGATCTGGTTGTTTTGTTCTTCTATGTTGCTTTGCTGAATTAGCTATCCCTTTTGTAGTTTTTCAGTGAAAATTTGCTATCCAAGGATTTCGTTAATATCTTCACACCGAAACTCCTGGCCGGTAGTAGTGAAGGAGGTTCTGCTGTATTTAGGTTGGAATACCAAGGACAGCCTGCTTGTCTAGCTCAGTCTCCTCAGCTTCACAAGCAAATGGCAATATGTGGTGACTTACGACGCGTCTTTGAGATAGGTCCTGTTTTCAGAGCAGAAAAGTCGTTCTCTCATAGACATCTGTGTGAATTTGTGGGTCTTGATGTGGAGATGGAGATTGATAAACACTATTCTGAGGTAAGACTGCTGTTAATAATCTAAATTCATCTCAAGTATCTTCTATTCTGTGACAGTTCTGGTGCTAATATCTATTGTTTCTGCAGATAATGGACCTTGTGGACGAGTTATTTGTGGCTATATTCACTAGTTTGAATAGCAAGTGCAAAAAGGAACTTGAAGCTATTGGAAAGCAATACCCATTTGAACCTTTGAAGGTAAACCATATATAATATTAGAAATCGAGTTTTTTTTGTATCATTTTGTGGATTCTGATAATTGGCGCTTAATTAATATGCATGCAGTTTCTTGAAAAGACATTGAGGTTAACCTTTGAAGAAGGGGTTCAAATGCTTAAGGTATGACTTGTTTTTTTTTTTGTATTTTATCCGAGTTTTTCGAATGGACCATCATCAATAGTTGTAATCTTGGTGTGTTGGCAGGAAGCTGGTGTGGAGATTGATCCTCTAGGCGATCTAAACACTGAATCTGAGAGAAAACTTGGCCAACTTGTACTGGAAAAGTAACAATCCATCACTTTTATCTATCCCCTTTTTGATATCATTTTCAAGTTCAAAACGATTCAGTTCTGTATCTCACAATTCTAACACTATCGTGTTGTTGTTGATTTTCGATATAGGTACAACACTGAGTTCTATATTCTGCATAGGTTTCCTACGGCCGTTAGGCCTTTCTACACCATGACTTGTGTTGATAATCCTCTTTACAGCAACTCCTTTGATGTCTTCATCAGAGGTGCATACCTTTTTTACCTTGTGTGTTCTCACCAATAATGTTACCATGCACATTTTGATAGATACTAAGTTTACGTGTTCTGCTTTCCTAGGTGAGGAGATCATATCAGGAGCTCAACGTATCCATACCCCAGAATTATTGGAGCAACGTGCGAGGGAGCACGGGATTGATGTCAAGACAATATCCACATACATCGATTCATTCAGGTAATAATTTACAAACTTGGACCAGCTCTCGGTTCCGTTACTTGTTTATCTGACTTGTTTACTAAGCAGACAATTGCTACAAATAATGTTGACAGGTATGGTGCGCCTCCACACGGTGGATTCGGAGCGGGGCTGGAGCGAGTGGTCATGCTTTTCTGTGGACTGAACAACATCCGGAAAACATCGCTCTTCCCTCGCGACCCTCAAAGGCTTGCACCCTAATACCTTTTCAACTCAAATTTTTCTCATGAAGCTTTTTGAGAGTTTAGATTTTTACTTGTTGCCTTGTTCTTGTAATCTTGATTTTAATTGTATGATCCTTATGTTACATACACGTTGTCGAGTAACTAAGTCTTTCTCCAGATATTTGAGTCTTTTGACAAGATTAGATCCGATAATTTAGTCTGTGCATGTTTCCTGTAAGATGTATAAATATCATCGTACTAAGCTGGTTCGTTGGGTTGCTCAAAGTCCCAAATCATAATGGTAAAACAGAGGTAATGTACCATTGTGATTAATTACCTCTGTTTTCAAAATACGCATATCATAATTTAAACACTATTTTTTAATTAGTATATAAATTTGGACTTCGAATTCAGTTTGGATTGGTACATACGTATCTAAAGGCTAACGCCACACTAAGTTAAAATGACTACAACATCACTTTTCAAAATTACAACAAACACACACACAAAAAGAACACAAAATGGTTATTATATGACCAAACCGATAGCCAAGTTAGGTAAACTTGGACGTGTTATTCGTCCCTGTGGCTGTCTCAACGTCATCACCGCTGTCAGGAACAACAGCCAGACTCGGCTGCACACTCTTGTAAGTGTATCTCATGGCCACGATCACAAAGCAGAAGATATTTGCAGCGGTCAAAGCGGCTAGCATCCAGTAAAAGCGGTCCAAGCGGCTGCTATTAAGGTCTTTCCCGAACCAGCCCTTCCCGGAAATTTCCTCGGCTAAATGATCACTAACCGTTATCAAAAGATTGTTGACAAAGCTAGCCGCTCCAAGCACGCTGAGGTAAAACGCTATGCCTAAGCTTCTCATGGAATCTGGGACTTGGTCGTAGAAATATTCTTGAAGACCCACAAGAGTAAAAGCATCCGCAACTCCTAAGACTAAGAATTGAGGAGCTAACCATATAGCACTCAAGGTCATGGTCTTACTCATGTGATGTTCCTTAGCATAATCTAATCTTTTCTTCTCAATCAGAGCAGCAATGATCATTGCGAATAAGGAGAAAACCATACCGATCCCGATTCTTTGTAGAATGCTAATGCCTCTTTCATTTCCAGTGGCGGGTCTCAAAAGAGGCACGAGGAGTTTCTCGTAGATTGTTACGGTGATGATTATGGAGAGAGCTATGAGAGAGAACAATGAAGCTGGAGGAACTATGAAGCTTGTCCCGGTGATGTGTCGGTCCATTATGATGGCTTGTTTGATAAAGAGTGTTGAGCTTTGAGTGGCGCATACTCCAAAGGCTAATGTAAAGAACCAGATTGGAATCATGTTGATGAGTAGCTTAACTTCTTCCACTTTTGTAACCGTTGCGAGTCTCCATGGACTCTGCTTCTCGGCTTTAGTGTTCTCGTTTCGGTCCTCAATAACTGCTGCTTTGTCTAGAAATCTGCAAACAGAATCGGAATCACTTACATGCATGTTTGGATACTGTAATATGCTTTATACGGATTCAATTTTTCAGTATCCAAAGAAAAAAGTAAAAATTAAACGGATTCAAAACTTATGTAAAAATAATTTTAAACCTCTGACTGAAATTGTAATAAATCGATCCATATTATTTTGGATATATATTACTTTACTTGTTTGCTATTGATATAATAATAATTTAAAAAAAAAAAAAAAAAAATCGAACCAAAACCTAACTTAAACCAAGACTAAACATCCGAGTTATTATGCACTTACTTAAGATTCTTTGTGCTAGAAAGAAGCCGGCCTTTAATATACTCTTCATTAGTTAACTCATGAAGGAGAGAAGAATCACTGGGACAAGGAAGATGTCTTTTTGCAATGGCGGCGACAAAGACTTGCAATATTGGGGTCAATGGGCTACCGGAAGGTGCTCTATAACGGTAAAACGGTTTACCGATAAGGAAGATAAAAAACGAAGTAGCCATGACTATTGTGAGTATGATACCGGCCACACCCCAACCAATCCTGTCTTCGATATAGACCATTGCAGTCACCGCGGTTAAAATACCAGCGCATAGACCAGCAGTCCACCAGTTAAAGTAAGACATTTTCATCTTTCGTTCTTCGGAATGGCCATCTTCGAATTGGTCAGCTCCAAAGCTCTCAAGGGCTGGCTTATGACCTCCAGTGCCTATGGAGATCAAGTAGATTGCAATGAAGAAGGCTATCTCGTGGGCTTTCCTTGGCTCAACACACATTTCTTCATGACATGCTTTCAATCCCGGTATAAACCAAGACAATGTTAACAGAATCAATCCCTGTAAAATTGTAGATTCAAAACAAATTAAAAATAGAAACAAGTGAAACAAACCATCAAGTTTTGACTAATCTCAAAATTTATAGTGTATATAAAGATATGAAGTTATTAGGCTGGTTTTTATAGTGTCCAAATAGTACTACCGATCAAAACCGACAACAAAATAACAAAAATAAATAATAAAATATACATATTTTAATAAGGTATATATGAAAATATATATTTCATTTTGAACTCATAATATTTTTGGCTATCATTGACTCGGTTTTGAGAGTATACAAGAGGTGCTCCTACACAAGGTTCACAACAAAAATAACTAAAATTAATGTGTATAAGGTCTATGTTTGAAGTATTGAAAAGGTCGATCGATAATAGTTTTTTGAGTATTATTATTTATCCGGTCTTTCAGAAATAATTACCATAAGGTAAACGGTGGTTGCAAGGAGGACAGTTCCATAACGGCCGAGATAAGCATCGGCGACAAAGCCTCCAAGAAGAGGCATCAAAGTAGTGACACCAGACCAGTAGTTTGTATTTTTTACAGCCATCTTGAGATCTTGGTGAAGAATGGTCGTCAAGTAGACCACTAAGTTCGTGGAGATCCCAAAGTAACTTAGCCTCTCGCTGAATTCGATACCTGTATGCATATATCAAACCATAAGACTATAACGTATAAATACTTCACAAATAAAGTTATTTTATAGATATAATACAAAAATCTCTTTGAAACGTTTGATATATACATACCAATGATGAAGAGTGCAGCTCTCCAAGCTCCTGTTTTAGCCCGAAGCGGAATCTCCCCTCTACTATCGGTAGAAGAATCAAGAACCCATTTTTGTTGATCATCATATGCCTCTTGAAGTTCTGTATCAACCTTGTTGTGCTCCATAATTTTTTGTGTAAATGATTGGGAGAGAGAAAGAGAGAGAGGATTGTTGCTGAGTAAGTGTGTGATGTGTTTGTGGAGAAGCTTGGTCCTCTTATATAATGGATAACATTCACTATGTTTGACTCTTCCTCCATAGTGCTTCCCAAGATTCTTTAAAAAGGACACGTTTGGTTTACAAATAGAAGACACATAATGAAGAACTTCTCAACTTCCATTTCGATTAATATGACAAAAAGCTACAATTTAATTTCACACGACTTTTGATTTTAAGACTATTATAAAGTCTATACAAAAATCCAAGGGAAGAAAATGATAGTGAAGCTTTGATCTAAGATAAGTACAAATCTCGGTGTAGTGCAGTGGTAGTCATAATTCTTTTTTTTTTTTGAATATAATGTTAAATTAAATTCAAAGAAAAAATATACTTTTTTACAACTTGTGCAACATTTGGCTTAGAAGATTGAAATTGAAACAGAAAATCAAAAAATCAGAATGCTTTTTCGCTTAGAGTCTCGACTCATACGTGGTAGTCATAATTCTTCCAATCGGTCATTTTCAGATAATAACTTGTGTGGCTTTGTGGACCTAAAAGGAGTCATATAAATAAAGTTGGAAATTCCTTTAACTCTTATGATTAAAAGAGAGTCAGACGGATTTGCCAAATCAAATAGAGATGGAGACAGAAGAAAACCTCAAATTTGATCGAAGCTTTCTATGAATTAAAACAATTCCATGCATGAATTTCCCATGAATTAAGAAAAAATATTAAAGTAGAAATGTGATGACCAAATTTTATTCTTGTTTCAACAACTTTGAGCTATTTATGAAGCCAAAAATGAATTTAAACTCCAACCGAAAGTGAAACGAAATATAAAGTTATACTCGTAGCTTAGAAAATCTTAGCACATGCATATTTCGTTGAACAAATTTACAAGAATCTTATAGATATATCCCGAGGAACCTTCATATCATATGGGTTTGATGCCAATAGAGTAAAGATTCTCTCTTTGGGTCTTTTTGAAGATATCTCCCTCTTGGCTACAACCAAAACCCAAGACATTAAATATTAATGCCTTACCCAAATGACAAAAACCTCTTATTCAAATTATTCCAAAGTACCAAAGGTTTTAATTTGTCCAAAAACAAAATTTTCAAGATTCTGGATAAACCCTCCTTGTAGCCCTCTAGGATCTGATCCTCACTATCGACAAATTCTTAGAGAACGTTTTTTTTTTCTTTTTTTTTTTGGTCATATATCACATTATTTCTAGAGTATATATTTTTAATTTACAATCCTATTACAAATGATGATTTTATCATTCACTTACATCTTTGCAACACTTAAAAACGCGAAGTACGATTTTATGAATAACTCTATACCAAACAATTATATTTGCATCACAAATATCCACGATAGCTAGTTGTACTTGCATCATATTTATGATGTACTTATTAATAACATATGACACTAAGACGAACGACTCTACATTTACCATATTGAAATTTATGGTAAATTTGACTTCTTTTAATATACATATTTAGCATTTTCTAGAATTGAATTATAAACGTGGTATAGAAGTATTAAATAAACTCTTATAAAACCTTTTAAATACTATATTTCAATTCAATAAAACAACAACTTTTCCGGAAAGAATTTTCATTTTTTGAAAAAATTGGAAAAATGGGTAAAAAAACCCTCACCTTTTCTAAAAACAAGTAAAAATCCCTCAACTTTTTTTTGGGTTTTTAAACCCTTACATTTACATAAATGGTAACATAAACACTAATATTACTAAACTAATCTGTATAAACAAATCGTTATATGAAAACATAAATAAATATAAACAATTTAACTTAGGATTTTTTCTTCTAAAATTCTAGTTTACAATATTTTTCTAAATTGAAAATTTTTAAGGCATGATGTAAAAAATTTAATTAATAAAGTTTTATTTGGTTAATTTACAAAAATTCATCAACGTGAACCTAACAAATTTTGTTACGAGTGATATATAAATTCTTATACCGAT